AGAATCCTCAGTGTCCTGTCTGGTGTTCCTGGCTATGCTACTGAATGGGACAAGATAGAAGACCTCAGCCTGTCAAATACTATGGTAGTCACTGAGCAGCCTCCACAGCCACATCACGCAGCTCGGTCACACGGACATGACCTCTCTCCTGGGCCCTCTTTGCTCTCCTAGTTCCTCAGTGGTACCTGTAGCGGTCTTAGAGACTCTGTGCCTACACAATAACTCACCAAAGGAAATTAGGCTGCATACTAATGACTAATGACACTAGGATTGCCTTCGTTCCTTAAAATGGTTTTAGAGAGCAGGGAGAGTTTTACAACATCATTTTTGGAGAAATCTTTACTATGATCCAGGATCATGTCCTGTACATAAGATATAAAAACATGTCAGTCACTGAAATGGCAGCTCAGGACATTTATAATGGCACCCACCTCCCCCTCCCAACCAAAATGATTCACATTGTTACTGTATATTATTGTTGTACTGCAGGTGCTTGCACAGAGAAAAGCAAAATCCAAGAAGAGATATAGGTGTTTCTTTAATTTCTCCTCAATAGAAAATATTTACTTTTATATAAGGTGAGACCAAAGGATTTTTTCTCCTACGTCTTAAATCAACTCAGGGAAACAACCACATATCATCTCATTTATATCTTCCTCAATCAAAACAAGAGATCTCTAACTGATCTTGAATAAGTCTAATTTAATTTAAGTACCTGAACATTGCACCATATGAGACCAGAGAAAGAGCCAAAGAAACCTCACATATGATTCCTGTAATGAAGTTATTTTCATTTTAGGGGCTTTATACTTTTGCTCCCCTACATTTTTAAATCCTGTATTTATTATTGCTGTTATCTGAACCCTATAAAGTTACTGAGATGAAGAAAAATAATTATTTGTCAATGAAAATATTGCACAACTTTGTTACAGCCAGCATAACTGGAACACCAACCACTGATGTTTGGAGATTAATTCATTAAGGACAGAATGCATGCATGAACTGAGGTACACAATGTCATACAGAATGAGCACTTTACTTTTGATACTTAAGTATATTCACTATGACTATGGAATACTTTTATACCTTTTTGAGGACTTGTGATAAATATCTATTTCTACTTTTCTTGAGTAAGGGACCATTGTACTATATTTAAAGTAACTATCAGCTGGATGGTGCACTGGAAAAGTTGTTGCACTTAAAACAGAAGGTACAGTATTCAAAATGTGCTCAGGGCATCCTTTTTTATCTCCTGAGGACAAAAAAGAGCCATTAATAAGACTGAGCAAAGCATCTCCCTCAAGTCTCTTCCTATGATGTCTTAGCCAGAACCTGGGCAAATGTGGAGGGAACACAGACAGTTCTCCTGACAGTGTTGAGGTCCCCCTTAAACCTCCGCTGCCCCATATACAAATACACACAAAGTGGCCTGTACAGTTCCACAGATTCAAGACTCTCTAAAACCACCATTTTTCTTTATACGTCTAAAATTGTATAGATTTTGTTACTAGCTGCATTTCAGATTTAGATGAATAAAATACAGTCAACAATTAAATTACGGTGTTTGCTTATGGTACTTTTATACTTTTAGTTAAGTAAAATTTTAAATATATGAAATTTTACTTCTAACAGTATGTAAAGCCTGGTGTTTCTACTGTCACTGATAAATGTGTTTCTTGCTTTATTTTAAACACTGTAGCCTGTAACACAGGCCTCTGTGTCAGAGCTGAGAAGTGGAGAATATTGTGGTGACTTTGCAGCCTCTCGGCTCAGGCTTAATTAATGGGCCATCAGCGGAGGGACACGCCCCCTGCACCTGGAACTTTCCCCCCTCCCCCAACCTTTCAGCAGCGCAGCAGAGAGGAGCAGAAGAAAACAGAGCGTGGCCGGAGTTTGGAGAGATTTGTTAGCAGGAGTTTGGAGAGATTTGTTTGAAAAATTTAAAGACGAAGACTTCATCTTAACCGACGCAAGAGGCAATTTCAGAGCAGGTAAGATTTATAGATATTTCTGCTTCTTGTCAAATGATGTTAATGTGCAATATTATTTTGAATGGAAGAAAACAGCAAGCTCTAACTTTAATTGAGTGGCTCCAGAACCGCTCCAGTCAGATCTCCAGCACACAATTGATAGGTACATGGTTTAACATGATGGCAGAAGTGCATATTTAATGGATTTAGTGCAGATGCAACAGAATAGTGCTGTTAAATTGTAAATATTTTTTCTGTGTAAATAACAATACACTTATAGGCTACTGTGCATGAGGCCGTATTTGCTTTGCGACAAATCCCAGTCTGTTTTTTCTGCTGCCACAGCTGCTTTTAACTCCCCTGTTACTGTCAGTAACAATTCCACCTCGTGTTAGATCCATGCAGAACTATCTCTGGTGTGGTTTTTAGTCTGTAGTAGTACCTTCTTCTTTTAACAAATCTTCTACTAATGCGAAGTAGACAATGTGCTTCCTGTTTATACCGGCACGCGCATGCTCAGTGTAGGCTATGTGGACGGCCACTTCACGTATTCAGAGACAGAGATCCATTCTGTTATGCAGATAAAATGCTGCTGGGGACGGAGATCGTTTTTGGTTTAAATCTCCTTTTAAACAGAAACGTAGTAGTGCGGATGTGGCCCAAGACAGGTGAGCCAACATTACACCTGAGAGAGGACACTGAAGTAGATGTAACACAGTCTCTTTTTATTATTATTTTGATCCCAAAGCAGCTCTGTTCTCATGGCTTATTGTGTGAAAATTAAATATTTATCAGCTACTACTTGATTGATTTAGTACCCTTTCCTATTGCCTGTCTCACTCCCACCTCTGTGACTGTCTGTTTAGTTAGTGGAGGGAAAGCTTCTGACAGGGAGAGCTGAATAACAGTTGCCACCATAAAAAGAAGAAAACGTGATGTTTCCTGACAACAGTTTGTTTATAAAATTAGGTAAAATCTGCCCGCAGCCTGCAACGGATTTTCAAAAGTAACACTTACTTTATAAAGTACACCTGTAAAGTCTTATACAATCCATTACAACAGTGCTGCCACAAAGTCTACTTTAATGATGCCTTTAATCAGTTTTCTTTTTGACACAGTCATATAGGTGTTAAGTGAATTAAATTTTTTAGCACTGAGGTCATAGTTGGTGAAAATGTTGTACTGGACTACATCATATTCAGATGTGTTTAATATTCCGCCCTACTCATATATATAAACAGGGAGAGCAAAATCACCTTTCAGTGTAACAACACCTTGAACTATAGGCTTAGTAATAAACAGAACTGAATTTACACATTCCTGACAAAATGGTCAGAAACTGAACCTGTTGTACAGAATTGCAGTAGATTGTACAGGTGTCCTGAATAGTCGCTACTGAGTATAAAGCAGTATCTGGAAACAAAGCACAAATGGCACATTGTCTCACTGGAGACTTGAGACGTAACCTCGTATTTATGACAGGGTGTCCAATTCACTTAAAACATGTGTTTATTCTCTCTCTCTCACTGTGTAGAGAGATGTATTATATGATATGAAATGCAGCAGTACTGTATCACTTAATATTACTACTACACATTGTTATTTTTATATTTTGTTCAGAGTATAACATGACATCATTTTCATTATTCTCATTGGTGTTAGGTCCAGGAAGAGATCGCTATGAGTCAAACACAGGTATGTGCCTTTACAAACTCTTTACTCCATCCTGACACTGACTTCTTTCTTCACTGTAAAAGTAGTAGTAGTTGTGATTCAGCGTTAAAGCTGACATTTTTAAATGAAACAATATCAGCTGCAGACCGATAATATAAACAGGAATTTAGGGCTCGGGCAATTCGTCAACATAGTCGATCCAGTGTTGGCAGGATTCCCCCGGACAAGCTCCAGCTACAAGACCGTGCCTTCGACCATCTAAAGTTTGGAAGTATTTTAGACAGACAGTCTCTGTGATCTGAGAAAAGCTTCACTGCAGCACAACTGTCCACGAATACGTGAAGCAGCATGAACACGTGAGCGAAAGTATCCTGGAGCACTGACGGCAGCACCGCAAATCCTATTTACTTTCTGTCGCCACACGAGCATGGCACATCATAGCACAAGGACACGTAGTATTTCTTAATCGCTTTCATGTTAAAAGTAATTTTTGCCCCGCTGCTGTCATTGTAGCATAACGTTACACCTCAAGACATCGAACGTTCGGCCGTTTCATATTTTCTGTTTTAATTAACGGCCACATATGAGCGAGAAAACAGCTGAAACTAACATTACAGACGATCTGTGACTGTCTGTACAGTCTGTGAATCCTTTCAATTGTTTTCTTTGCCCGACACTGATGCAGAAATGCATTTGATTATCATACTGCAGTACTCAATATTGAAATTAATCCATGTCAAAAACATTAAAAGTTTTAAGTAAAGTAGCCTAATAATTAATGTCTGTTATTGTTGTTATCACAACACATCAATGGCGTGGAAATTTGATTCATTTTAAGATTTGCTGCTAT